CACTCCTTCTGCTCCCATAATCTGTATTGTGCCTACCATATAAAATATTCATTTCTGGGATCCCTGGGTGGCGCAGCGGTTTGGCGCCTGCCTTTGGCCCAGGGCGCGATCCTGGAGACCCGGGATCGAGTCCCACGTCGGGCTCCCGGTGCATGGAGCCTGCTTCTCCCTCTGCCTGTGTCTCTGCCTCTCTCTCTCTCTCTCTCTGTGTGTGTGTGACTATCATAAATAAAAAAATAAAATAAAATAAAATATTCATTTCTGCATACTGTCATTTAGCCTACCAGGTCAGAAGCTCTTTCTTTATGACTGCTGAGGTAACCAGTGTCTAAAACCATGCTTAACATGTAGTAGGAGTGCATCACATTTTAGCTATGAGTATTATTATTCATCATCTTGGCATGCTTCAGACCTCTAGCATACTACTGTTTCTTAAATACTGTAAAATCAATTTAGAACTAATTAATTCATGTCCTAAGAATGAATGAGCTCTCTTAGTAAGAAAGGAGAGCACCTACAGTAGGTGTAGAGAGATAAAGCATGGAGTTGGTTTGAGACACTCCCTCTCTCTCTCTCTCTGCCCCTCCCCCCCAAATAAAAGGGTGAATCTTAAAAAAAGGAAAGAGAGAGAGAGCAAATGGCTAGGAACTGAAAAATGAGAGAATAGAGGAAACTTCTGGTAATCCACAGCCATGTTATCTATTTTGCAAGTATCTTTGAAATATATCTGCCAGTCACATGAGACAAAGGTAGATTTTTCAATTTGTGGATGATGCTGTCTCTGACTCAGCCTGGCAAACAACAAAGCCAAATGCAATGGTGGTGCATTATCTAGTTGAATTAGCTAGATTTCTCTGAGTCGCCTTTTGCACAGGCAAAAGAGAATTAACTATAAGGACAAAGGGAAGGGTGCCTGGGTGGCTCAGTGGTTGAGCATCGGCCTTCAGCTCGGGCCTGATCCTGGGATCCAGGACTGAGTCTCACATTGGGCTCCTTGTGGGGAGCTTGCTTCTCCCTCTCTGTCTATGTCTCTCATGAATAAATAAATAAAATAAAACACAATAAGGACAAAGGGAAAAATTATGAAAACTTTTTAGAGGTTGGTTTTTCTAACATGTATTCAAGTGGATATATCAAGAGAATTTACTATATAAAATAGCTAAATATTTTTTGCATCAAGAATTAATAAGTATTCCATTTTTGAATCATTTTACAAGAATAGCCTTCTGCCAAGTTTTCTGTGTTATGGCTTTTTGATGTGAGTAGCATTTCCTTTGTACGTTTGTCGTTTTTAGTACAGCCAAATCAATTGGCTTCTTTAAAGTGCTATTTTTGGACAAATAAAAGGGAAAATTAATCATGGTACCCAAGTGATAGTCTGGGTATACTATTTCATTATTTTCAGTTTAGTCTGGGAAATATGTAACCAGTTTTTCACCCAGAGAGTAAAAACGTTCCAATTTATTAGAAAGTACTTATTATTGGAAGCAGTCAATGACAGAAGAGTAATAATGGAAACCATCCCAGCTACTTCCATGCAGGCAGTGCTGGCCAGCCATTGTGTTAAAATGAAGACTTGCATCAGCTAAGGTGTGGCTTGAAAAGTCTGGAAGATGTCCCTCTCTGAGACAAAGGTCATGACACCACCAGTTCTAGATAAGACTCCTTAAAATGCAAAAATCCCTGAGAAGGACAACTCCATCTCTAATACATATCCACTAAAGTTGCATTTCAAGAGATCACTGGATAACTGGACTGGCAAGCAAAACAGCAAATTTGCAGATTTTGCAAAGAGCCAATGCTAACAATAAAGGTCATGCTATTTTAATGTTGGCTCAACAAATTCCTATAGATCACACAACAGATTCCAAAGGTGGCAGGCCATTGGTACCAGAAAACACACATAATTTTTTTATAATGTCCAAAACCCTGGAGATGGAGGTGGAGAGAATGGGAGAGATCAAAAACAAGTCTGAGAAAGAGAAAATTGACATGGAAAGCCTGAGTGAACCCCCATCTCCTCCTTTCAGTCACTTCCAGGTACATCCCCTATAGGCAGACTGGATCTCGGTCTATCTCCCCAATATTACAAGTCCTTTTTTTCTGTGTTATCCTACTTCTTTTAACCAGTAGTTCCCATCTCCCCAAGGCTAGGCTGCTGCACAACTCCAGGGCACAACCCTCACAAGGTAGTGAATATGCAACCCTCCAAAGTTGTGTAGGGCCTAGCCTGTGGCCATGTGGCACCCCTGCCTTCCACCGTGTTTCTCACTATCCAGATCACATCAAACCTCAAGACTCACATCATACTCCTCTACCGCCTGGATGTGAAAGAATCCTTCCTCAGTTTTTTTAACCTATCAATGGCTTGGCCCTGGAGTTCACACTAGGAGTGAAAGAAATTCTCAAGATGAAGAATAAATACAAAGACCCTGGATCTTACCCTTGAACATCCCCAAGTGTAAAAAATATAATAAGAGGGACATTGAACTGAGAGACAGGGAATTTGGATCTAGAGCAGATGTTAACTAAACTTCTGGGCAACCTGGGGAAAGTCACATAATTTGTCAGAGTGTAAGTTTCAGATTTGTAATACAAAGAAGGTGCGTAAGACCCCTTCGAGATCCTTGTCGCCCCCAATATTTTATATAACCTAGGAACGCTAGCTCCAGTAAGGGTATTTGAGTAACATACAGCTGCATCATAAAGGGAAGTAATCAGTGGCCTTTGAAGGTCTGGAAGACAATTCACTAAATGTTCATAAATGTCAAGCCAAATGGTATACAGGCCTGAGCTGATGGTAATTTACCTCTCAAGGCATATCCCTGCCTCTCTTCACAGCACTAGATCTTTACATAGATTTTTTTCTTATTTCTGTCTGGCAAACCTGGCACATAGCCGCCACATTTTCACCAGCCCACTCATATTTGCTAATGCCAACTGCCTCCCACTCTTAGCTACAGCACACACACCCTCTCATGTGACAATGCTAATAAAGGATGGGTTTCTGCTACAAGAACATAGATCTACAGCTCTAAATACAAGAACATTCTTATTTTATTTTTTATATTTTTTTGAATATTTTCATTTTAAACAAACCCAATATGACAAAATCTGCATTTATAAGTATATACACTTATGTGGGTGCATATAAGTAAATGGGTGGATGGATGATTTGCTTTGCAAATGAATTCGTCATGAAATTTCTTAAAATACCAGGTCCTTTATTTCTCTTTTCCTTCACTGCCTCCTCCACAAATATCTTACACTTTTTGCTTATTTATTGCTACTCAGGAATATATCTATTATGTAAGCTAAGGTATCTAGTATTTATAAAGTTTGATGGAAAACAAAATGCAAAAAAAAGAAAGAAAGAAAAAGAAAACAAAATGCATTTCTTTAGCATCTTCTGGCTAATTTTCTTCATGTTCTGGGTATGTGGCCTTATATTTTACATGCCTCTGCTTTGAAACTGTATCTGGTAACTCCAAGAGTACCAAGAGTATAAAACTCTCATGAATCTTAAGTACCTTCCAGAGTCCACCATGATAGAACAGCCTTCTACAGAAATTAAAATCTAGAAGAGCCATAGGTTTCACACAAGCCACCAAGCTTGGAGAAAAGTGAGCTGATGGCATTGCTTTGTAAAAACTTTCATGACAACTGTTGTACCTTCCACTCAGGTTATCTGTCAACTGAGGGCAGCTTAACCACCTTTCTGGGATGGTGAAGCTATTTCTAGTAAATGGAAAATTTTATCTTTTGCTGTGAAATGCAAATGTGATTTTTCTCAGCCCATAAATGGTAAGCTCAATCGTGTTTGTTTATTTGTTCAAAATTTGAGCTTTGTATGTTTTCTATTTCTCTCTTCCCCAGGGCTTTCCTTATCTGTATGCACACACAGATGAGAACAGCAACAGATCAAACTAGCCCACTAGATTAGGGTAGATTGCAAATAATATCTCTGATGCTAACAGCACCAAAGGTTTCATCTCACGGGATTGCGATCGTTAGCATTCCCCTCGAGGCTCATGCAAGCTAAGAGCCGAACAAAAACAAAAAGAAGAACAACTTCACTCTTAAGTCATACTCTCTTCTAAAAAAAAAAAAAGTCCTTTTTCCCCACTTTCAGAAACACAATTGTCCAGAGCTTAGAAATTCAAAAGAATCCCAACTCCCTCTGGGATCCCTAAGAATGGATACTTAATGAGGGACCGAGTTTATAGAAGCTACAGAAGGTGGTGCGGATGGCAATAGAAAGAACACTGAACCAAGAATCAGGAGGCCTAAGATGAGATATGGACAAACCTTAACCCTTCTGGGCCTCACTTTCCTCCTTACAAAATACAGATAATAAAACCCACATTTTTCCTGGTATCAAATGAGATAAGAGACTTGAAAATTCTTTGTGACAATATTACAACTTCACAATACAATGCTCTGCTTATTTATGTTCATCTCAACTCCTATGATGGTGTAGACAATTAAAGCTGAAAGTTAAGAAAAAATGAGAAAAGAGTTAAGACTGGGTTTAAACAAAGTTTTTCTTTATCTCTCCCTCTCTATGTCTTTCTTTCCCTCTATCTTTTTATCTCCCTTTTACTCTACTTTCTAGAAAAAGGCAAAAGTAACCATTAATCTAATCTCTGTGTTCTAACAATCAACGTTTCTATGGTTTTCAACTGCAGCCAATGGCTAAATTAGATAACCTCACTGCTTACTAAGGACAGAAGCCTGTGTTAAATTATTACCAAAATCACATCATGAAGAAATCTTCTGCTTCTAGAGAAGCTTGAAATTGGAATCACCATCTATCCTTTATTAATTAATTCAATAAATATTTATTTGGTACAAACTTGTGGCGGGGATTTAGAAATTAATAAGAAAAACATAGCCCCTTTCCCCAAGAAGTTCACAATCCAGTGAGACAGACAGATTCATAGTGTCTCATTTAATAGCTTAGGAACTAGAAACAAATAGTTGAAAAAATTTGACTCTACCTGCAACTCTCCTTCCATTATACTGAGGAGCTGTATAAGGTCTTCTTTGGATAACTCCAAGGGTTTCTTATTTTTTCGTTCACTTTCTCCAGATGGTTTTAGGTGTCGTTTGACAGTTCCTGAGGCCATGACATCATCCTCCTTTCTATTTGATTTGTTCTTCTTTTTTGCATCTTCTGAGAGACTTTTATCATCAACATTGCTGATGATAGAGGACTTGGGGCAAGAGATATGCCCATTGGATGAACTTTCACCACCCTGGTTTCGGGATCTCATTCCCACCTACAATATATGAAAAAAGATAAAATGTTATTACTACCACTTAAATTATTTGTCTAACGAGTTAGAACTTTTAGCAGCTTCATAGCATCACCAATAAAGAAATACTGAAAGATCAGTTCCAGTTAGCTTCCTTACAGCTTTAATGAAAGTCATTAAAATCTTCAGGGAAATGCTTTGATGGTCTTCAGGAAAAAGTGAAAATGTGATACTAACATGATAAACATCTCAAACCAAATGATTAAGGTCAACACCAGGAGTCCTAAGCCATGTCTATAGCCTGTACTTCTGATATGATGAGATTAAAAATGGTACTTTACGTTTGTGGCCTCCTTCCCCCAAACATTACTCAAGTCTAATAATGAGAAAAACATCAGATGGACCCCAGTTGAAAGATAGCCTACAAAATTGCTGACCAGTAATCTTTAAAGTTATCAAGGTCATTGAAAACACAGAAAATCTGAAAAGCTATCACAGCCAAGAGAAACCCAAGGGTACATGACAACTAAATGCAATAGGACATCCTAGGTGGGATTCTGGAACAGAAAATGGACATTATAAGGAAAAGTCAGGATATATGAATAACGCATATATTGACTTTAGTCAATAATAATGTATCAATATTGATTTATAAATTATAATGTGCTATTCTAATGTAAGATGTTAACTATAGAGGAAACTGTGTGTGGTATATAGTGGAACACTTGGTATTATGTTTGCAACAATTATGTGAATCAAAAGCTGTTGTAAAATAAACCATTTATTTTCTAAATAAAGTCTATGAGAAAATTCAAACATCTGGGGCACCTGAGTGGCTGTCAGTTAAGCATCTAACTCTTGGTTTTGGCTCAGGTCATGATCTCAGGGTCATTAGGTCGAGTCCCAAGTTGGGCTCCAATGCTCAGCATGGAGTCTACCTGAGATTCTCTCCCTGTCCCTCCCCCTCTGCCTTTCCCTTCACTTGAGTGTGTGCTTTCTCTCATTCAAATAAATAAATAAAATATTTTTAAAAAAAAGAAAGAAGGAAAGAAAAGAAAATTCAAACCTCAAACTCTGCCAGGAACCAGTTGGAAGTCACAAGGTACAGAAAAATCCACATAGGGTGGAGGGGGCTTCAAACAGAGAGAGAGGAAAAGGGAAACTCGAAGGGAAGAGGGTGGTGTTGTTTTTAGTGATGTGGGATTTTGTTTTTCCATAACCTCTTTTTAAAAATCAGGGAGTTTTTTGGTTTGGTTTTGTCTTATGTCAGTCATTTATAGTAATAATAAGAAGAGCACAAAGAATTGGGGAAAACAGATTTTAAAATCAAAAATTTTTTGAATATTTTGAGGTAAAATAAAGAAAAAAGACTAAGTAGCGGCTAACTTATCCTGTGGGGAACACATTTGGGTCTTTCCATCATGAATACTTTACTGATTCTGTCAGTCTCTGAGCAGAAGAACTTGACCAACAGCTATGTTACAAACAAACAAACTGAACTCAAAGCCTAGGACTCAAAGTGCAAGAAAGGGAGCTCTAATATCCTGGGGGCTGTACTAGAAAATTTGCCTAAATCTTTAAATATAGTAGCTTAGCACATGGGCTTATTTAAAACTCACAGTATAAATAGTCTTTCCCCTGAACAGCTAAGCAGCAAGATTTTCATTACTCATTCCAGATAAAATACAGAGACTTATTTTCTGAAAGTAAATTTCCTTTATGAACCCAACCATACTTAAGAAACCAAGGAAAGCTTTTGAAAACACTAGATTTATCATAGAAAAATAAATACAGTGTGATGCTTCCTTTCAGATAGTGCATATTCAATTCTTCCAAGAAATCTTGAAATCTGAATTCACACTCCTTTTTTTGAACTGAACTCTTATAACCAGATGGACCCTTTTGTATATATATGAATTTTCCTCAGCACCCCAATTTTAGACAATATAAAGTGAAGAAGTGGTCCTTAACACTGGCACCCAATTTTCTGGTTCACTCAGTGATTAGTTCTTGAAAGTTTAGAGCATTTTGTGCTTCCCTGATGGAGAAAGAATAGATGTGCTTTGTAATAGAAGCTAGAGCACTTCAGAGCAGACCTACTATACTTTATCACAGTTTGTGGGCAAAGAGAGCTTAAGCCCTCAGTAAAAAGAGAGAGAGAGAGAGAGAGAGAGAGGCCATGAATAGGAAGTTTTGAAAGGGAGCAAAATATGTTTTGGCATATAGTAGACACAGGTGAAGCTCTGAGAGCTGAGTAGAAATTATTCTTTTGTATGAAACATTACATTTATGTGGGAAATCTCCATTTGAAAGGGTATCTCCTCCTCTGTAGCAGGAAGAGAAGAATGACTAAATTTCTAGAAACTCTTCTCTGTAGAGAAGGTAAGGACTTAAATCTGCACAACACTTCACTTTTATTTATCATGCTTTTCCTGGTATACTCCCACAACTGACTCCCCACTCCCAAAATCTTCTTTTGTCTTTAGCTGAAGATGATAGTAAGGTAATGGCTTGAGCCATTTCTCAGAGTTCCTCTCCTGTGTATGGAGGACGTACACGTTATTAAACTTCTGTTTGTTTTTCTCCTGATGATTTGTCTTTTTGTTACAGGGGTATCTTAGCCAAGAACCTAGAAAGGTAAAGGGAAAACTATTTTTCCTCTCCAACTACTTTAAATTTAACTCTTGACTTTTACACATCAAAACTAAGACACATGTGCTTCCCAAAGTGAATTGTGATTCCCTACAACTCCAAGCCACATGTGAATTCTTTTCACCTGAAATAATTTTCTCTACAAGATCTTAAGGTTCTTTGGGATGGTGCATCAAATACTGATTTGACAACTTCCATTTAGATCATGCATTAATAAAAATTCCAGAAAATAGTTAGATGGTAATGTTTTAAACTTAGTCATTCATGGCCTTAATCATATACAACATTTGTATTTGACTGTAGCATGTGTTTGTCATATTTCCCAGGATTTTTTATATCTTTTATAGGATCTACAGCATTTGAGTATTCCTAAATTAGAAAAATGCCTATCTATGTTATATGCATTTACTTGATCATATTTACAAACATACAGAAAGTGACATTTACTTAGTACCACTCTTTTTATATTTAGTATTTTCTAATACTTTCAGTCTGATACATGTTTAAGTAAATTTTATTGTAGTATTAATAGCTTTCATAGAATTAAGTGGGGGAATTGTATTAATATTGGTTATAGAATTATAGAATTAATTACTTTCACCGAAAAAAACACATAACTTAGAATTATCTAATTATTTTATATTGCTAATCAGCTCAAAAGCTTGAGATTCTATTCTCTTCCATGGTCTTTCACTTTGATAAAAAAAATCTCATGTGGTAGACCATGACATTAATTCTCTCTCAGCAAATATTTTTCCTCCATGCCTGGTTTTTCCTTTGATGTGTGCACATGGATTTTAGTGCTTTCCTGGTTATCCAAATAGGATCTACTATCTGTATCTCCACAACAAAGTCAGCAATCAGAATGTTCCATCTTGGCATTGTAAAAGTACTCAGAGATAACAAACTAGCCAATAAATGTTTTAGGAAGGAAGTAGACACCATATATGAAAGTAAAAAAACATAAGTCTCAATAGTGTAATCAAGTGTGCCATCAATAATGTCCACTCTTTTATTTATTTATAAAGTTTTCTTTTCTTTTTTTTGTAATCTCTACACCTAACGTGGGGCTCAAATTTAAAACCCCAGGATCTGGGACACCTGGGTGGTTCAGTGGTTGAACATCTGCCTTTGGCTCAGGTTGTGATCCCAGGGTCCTGGGATTAAGTCCCCTATCTGGCTCCCTGCACGGAGTCTGCTTCTCCCTCTGTCTTTGTCTCTGCCTCTCTCTCTGTGTCTCTCACTAAATACATAAATAAATAAATAAATAAAATCTTTTTTAAAAATAAAAAAAAAAATTAAACCCTAAGATCAGGAGTCACGTGCTCTTCTGAATGAGCCAGCCAGGCACCCCAATAATGTCCACTTTAAACTATTTTGGTTTTTTTGTTTGTTTTTTTAAAGATTTTTTATTTATTTTTTAGAGACAGAGAGAAAGAGAGAAAGAGAGAGAGAGAGAGAGAGAGCAGAGGGAGAAGCAGGCTCCATGCTGGGAGCCTGACGTGGGACTCAATCCCGGGTCTCCACAATCACACCCCACCTGTGGTTAAGGGAACACTAAACCGCTAAGCCACCGGGGCTGCCCAAACTACTTTATTTTGAAGGGAGAAAATATCAAGACAATAATGACTTCCATGTATCACATTTAGTGACAGTCATACTCTTCCTTATTCTATAGTTCTCACGTAGTTCCTTTTTTTCTTAATTTTTTATTTAAATTCAATTAATTAATATATATTATATTTTTAGTTTCAGAGGTACAATTTAGTGATTGAGTAGTTGCATACAACACCCAGGGTTCATTCCATCAAGTGCCCTCCTTAATGCCCATCACCCAATTCCTCCATCCCCCGTCCCAACTCCCCTCCAGCAACGCTGTTTGTTTCCTATAGTTAATAATCTTTTATGATTTGCCTCCCTTTGATTTCATCTTCTTTTATTTTTTCTTTTCCTCCCCTATGTTCATCTGTTTTGTTTCTTAAATTCCACATATGAGTGAAACCATATGGTATTTGTCTTTATCTGATTGACCTATTTTGCTTAGTATAATACTTTCTAGTTCCATCCAGGTCATTGCAAATGGCAAGATTTCATTCTTTTTGATGGCTGAGTAGTATTCCATTGTGTATATAAATACCATATCTTCTTATCCATTCATCTGTCAATGGACATCTGGGCTTTTTCCATATTTTGGCTATTGTGGACATTGCTGCTATAAACATTGGGATTCATGTGCCCCTTCAAATCACTAGGTTTGTATCCTTTGGATAAATACCAAAGGTAGTGCAGTGCAATTACTAGGTCATAGGGTAGCTCTATTTTTAACTTTTTGAGAAACCTCTATGCAGTTTTCCAGAGTGGCTGCATCACAT